TTGTTTCCTCTCCACCTATCCTCTCCTCTATCCCTCTTCTATCCGCCTCCCACTCTCTCCCTATTTATTTCAAAACCCCCTTCCCCTCCCCCTTTTCTGATGAAGGGTCGAGGCCCGAAACGTCAGCCTCTCTGCTCCTATGATGCTGCTTGGCCTGCTGTGTTCATCCAGCCCTGCACCTTGTTGTCTCGGATTCTCCAGCATCTGCAGTTCCTACTATCTCTACTATGCATACTAACTGATCGCCCAAACAGTGAATGTAGGGTTATGAGTTGTGACGCCTGGCTATCTTCTTGTGGGTGTTCAAGTGGGCTAATATCCCACTAAATTTCTTCGAACGCACATTCGTTAAATAAGTGTCCTCTTTCTGCGAGCTGCTGAACAGTGCGTCCCAGGCGGGGAGACCTGGGCGCTGTTTAAAGGAATGCTCAGTTTTCATTTTACCTTTCTACTAGGGATTGATGTACAAAATCGTGTTTAGATTCGTGGGAGACGAGGTCAATATTTCACCGAAACACTATCAATATTCGTTCCAGATACTGTTTATGAAGATCTCACCCAAAGAGAGTGCTGAGGAAGGGTCCCTCGACCCGAAACGTTAACTCGGATTTCTCTCGACAGATGCTGCCAGACCTGCTGAGCTTTCCAGGATTTTCTGTTTTTGTTTATTTGTGTTTGAGAGTTAGTGCTGACTGGTTATTGGAGATCGTGTCTGAACAGCCAGAGAAAAGGCAGCGGCTAATCAATGAGGATCTAGCCGAGACATCGTCCCATGGTCTGGAGGAGGAATTGGAGGATGAGATGAGGCCAGGCAAAGCAACACCAGATACTGAGATCGGGAGAAGAAGTACCGGAAGGCTTCAGATTTATGATGACTTGGTGCATGTCCACAAAGTGGAAATGATGAGAAATCTTTTCATAATATTTTAATAAATCTTTTGCGCACTCTCTCTAAGACCTTTAAATCCATCCTAAGGTGCAGTCCACTGAAATTGAACACAATATTATAGTTGAGGTTCAACTAACATATTATACAGGTTCATCATGACTTCCCTGTCTTTATGGGGTCTTTATCAAATTAAATGTGTATACATCGTATCAAAATCATTAACCTCTCTGCTACCTTGTTATAAAACTCAATTACATGTGTTTTAAAATGGTTTGACTTCATCAGCTTTGTGCTGGCTTTCCTTAATTAACCTACACTTGCTCATGTGACTGTTAGTTGTGTTCCTATGATCATTTGGACTTTCCAACCACTGGTATTAAATTTACTAGCCTACAGTTGTTTGGTTTATCCTTGCAACATTTTTTTACAATTGTGTAACATCTATAATTCCCAGTTCCTCTGGCACTATGCCTGTATCCAAGGAGGTTTGGAAGATTGTGGCTCGTCTATCTCCATTTTCCAGTTCTACTTCCCTCAGCATCCTCAGATACTTAGCATTAACACTGGTGATTTATTGACTGTAAATGCAGCGAGCCTAGCTAGTATGTTTTCTTTCCTAATCAAACACATCTTGGCCATCCCATCACTTGTCAGCATGCCACGAGGACTGTTCCCTCTGTGACACTCTGGACCACTCCTTCATCACTGCTAATACCTCAACACCATCCCATGGAACCTCCATACAATTGCTAAAGGAATAACACTTGTCTTTTTACCTCGTTCTCCTTCAATGTCCAAGGCCCCAAATACATCTTCCTGGTGAAGCAGTGATTTATTTGTAATTCTTTAAATCTAGTCTACTGTGTTCATTGCTCACAATACAACCTCACCTAGATTGGTGAGACCAAATGCAGACTGGGTGATTGTTTCTCATAACATCTGTCTGCAAAATTGACCCTAACTTTCTGTTTGCTTATCATTTCAATATACCATCTTGCTCATGCTAACATTTTGTCCTATGCCAGTTTTCCAGTGAGACCCAATGCAAGATGATGGAACAGCACTCATTTTCTGCTTCGAACCTTTACAGCCTTCAGACTGAGGGTGACCTTATAGAGGTTTATAAAATCATGCAGAGCATAGATAGGGTGAATAACCATGGTCTTTTTGCCCGGGTACAGGAGTCCAAAACTAGAGGGCATACGTTTAATGTGAGCAGGGAAAGATTTAAAAGGGAGCTGAGGGGAAATTTTTTTTCCACAGAGGGCAGTGCGTGTATCGAACAAGCTGCCAGAGGAGGTGGTGGAGGTGGGTACAATTACAACATTTAAAAGACATGTGGACAGGTACATGAATAGGAAAGGTTTAGAGGGATATGGGCCAAATGCTGGCAAATGGGACTATGTGGGAAATCCAGGACAGTTTGTCAGTTATCGTCACTTCGAGGAACTTGATGCTCTTCACCTTCTGAACCTCAGTTCTGTTCATGTAGATGAGGGCATGTTCTCCTCCTTTCTTTCTGAATTCAATGATCAATTCTTTAGTTTTGCTGATGTTTAAAGACAGATTGTTTTCATTGCACCATGTAACCAAGCCTTCTGTCTCCCTTTTGTAGTTTGACTCGTCGTTGTTAGATATCCATCCCACTATGTGGTGTCGTCAGCGAACTTGTAGATGGAGTTCATTTGGAATTTGGCAACACAGTCATAGGTGTAAAGGGAGTACAGTAGGGGCCTGAGGATGCATCTTTGGTGGGGGCTCCAGTGTTGAGTGTTATTGTGGAGGAGGTGCAATTGCCTATCCTCACTGATTGCGGCCTACGGGTCCGAAAGCTGAGGATCCAATTGCAGAGGGTGGAACTGAGACCAACGTTATGGAGTTTTGAGGTCATTCCGGAGGGGATAATAGTGTTGAAGGTGGGACTGTAGTCAATGAGCAGGAGCCTGACCTAGGTGTCTTTGTTGTCCAGATGTTCCAGGGATGATTGTAGGGATAAGGATGGCATCCTCTGTGGATCTGTTATGTTGGTCGGCAAACTGTAGGGGATCGAGGCAGGCTGGGAGACTGGAGTTGACGTGAGCCATGACTAGCTTCTCGAAGCACTCCATGATTATTGATGTCAGAGCCACTGGGCAGTAATTATTAAGGCACACTGCATGTGTATTCTTGGGTACAGGGATGATGGCGGTCTTCTTGAAGCAGGTGGGGACTTTGGCTTGTAGGAGGGAGAGTTTGAACACGTCGGTGAATACCTCCGCCAGTTGGTCTGCACAGGATCTGAGTGCTCGGCCGGGGACACTATCCAGGCCTATTGCTTTCCTTGGGTTGACTCCCAGGAAGACCAATCTGACTTCTGAAGCGATGACAGAGGAATAGGTGTCTCTGGGGCTGTCGCAGCAGGCATGACCGCGCCCCTGGCATTCTGCTCAAACCGAGCATAGAAAGCACTGAGCGCGTCAGGGAGAGATGTGTCATTGCCTGCTATCTTACACTGTTTCATTTTGAATCCTGTAATGTCATTTTGGCCTTGCCATAGGCGGCGGGAGTCTGTTTGCTAGGTTTGGGCTTCTAACTCGGTCCAGTACTGCCTCTTGGCATCCATTATAATGTACAAATTACAGTGAAATTCTATCTTGTATGATAGTTGAGATAAACAAAAGGTAGTTCAGTACCAGGCTAACATGCAAAATATGAAAAAAAAACATTTTCAGCTGATAGATCATTTCAAAGTGCTTGTTAAATAATTAATTACCGTTGCAGTCGTTGTTGTCAAATGGACATCCTCCAAATCACTATTTGATAAACAACAATTATGCTATTCTGGAGATATTGTTTGCAAAATAAATATTGGCATGGACACCAAGAAATCTTTACGCTCAACTTCAAATAGTGGTGTAAATTGTTTATACACACCTGAACAAACATAACTCTGACAATGTTACACTTTCTGAGTACTACGTGTAAATGTGAGCCAAGATTATTTAAGTTAATTCTGCACTGGGACTTAAATCTACAAACTTCTCATTTGAAAACCTTTTAAAAACTTCGGTGACAAGATATGATGGCTGGACAGGCT